CCGTACATCTGCCGCATTTGTGATATTGCTATGATCACTTGACAGGCGACTGTGATAAGGAAACATCATAGTTGCTTGAAATCTAGTGCGAATCTAACGAAATAGACTTGTCTTTACTACAGTGCGAACTTAACACGGCAGATTCGCGGCGATAGCAAGATTATCACACGGCATTGCGACCTTTCATCCACGCCACAGAACATTGGATCTTGGTAAAAAGAGAGATGCCGAGGACTCGGCCGCTGTCGCGCAGTCCCTTCAGGCAAAGAGGACGAAAACAAGTACCAAGCGGACGTATCTGTCGAAAGTAAACACGATGACAACGTGACTGGCATCTCATCATCCTGATACTATCGACAGCAAGACTACGAAGATGCGCATACCGCTCTCAAAACCAGCGGTTCTCGGCGTTTTTGGGCATATCTGTAGCCCTGCACACGTCTGTGATCGCGACAGCGTAGAAGCTGGGGCCTCATCTAAAACGCCTCTGTCGGCGTCGTGCATTTGAGGGTACCGTAGCGCTCTGGTTGACGTTTATCGTGCGGAAAGTTCTGAACTAGATCCTGATATTGACACTTAATTGCGTCGTGTTCTCGAGGGTTATGAAACGTTATCAACAACGTCAAGAAGCGTGGGTTGATGAAAATTAACGAAGGAAAACGTGAGCAGAAGGCGTCTGGCTTTGATCTGAAGTTAATGACACTTGAACCAATGAAAAAAGGCCAAGCATGGTCGACGGTGCTGTTTGGATGGAGTTTTTCATATTGATGTGGAGCTTGATGAGCAGAGCTGATTCCGTTGATACTATCATGTTGCAGCCAATTGAGTGGTCTGAGGATTGCTTAATTGTGGAGGAGCAAGGGCATAAAGGCGACCAGACAGGGACAGACAAGTTTGGCAAGCATGTGTATGCAAACCCTTACCAGCCATCCGTGTTGTGGGCTTGCTCTTGCTGTTCATCTTTTCGCTTGTCCAGGACGTGGAGCTGGTGGGAAGCAGAAATTATATCTCGGCACCGATAACAAAGATCGTTTGGCAGAATTTTACGACGTGTCATTAAGGCACTAATTGAAGAAGAATTGTGTTTGTTTAGCTGTATACCAGAAGACATCGGTACTCATAGCCTTCGTAAAGGCAGCAGTTCATACGCATTAGGACAAGTCAACGGTCCAACACCTGTATCAGTTTATCTCCGAATGGGCCAGAGTCTCGGGAAGTCGAAAGACCGGTACATTCATTTTGGCGATGGGGCTGATCAATTGTGCGGCAGAATGACGTCAAGATTACCTGAGCGTAGTTAAACCTAATCAAATGCATATCGTGTGGCCCTCAGCCTATGTACTGAGGCCACTGTTAACTCTACGATTAATGTACTGAGAGTATGTTAACTCTTCGGGTACTCTGTACCCATGTGTGCGCCACACCCG